AAGGAACTCAAATCAGCAAGAAAAAAAAATCTCCCCAAAAAGTGGGCTAAGGACATGAATAGACAATTCTCAAAAGAAGATATACAAATGGTTCACAAACATAAAAACACGCTCAACATCACTGATAATCAGAAACATGCAAATCAAAACCACAATGTGATACCATCTTACTCCTGCAAGAATGGCCATAATCAAAAAATAAAAAAAAGTAGATGTTGGCATGGATGTGGTAATCAGGGAACACTTCTTCACTGCTGGTGGGAATGTAAACTAGTATAGCCACTATGGAAAACAGTGTGGAGATTCCTTAAAGAGCTAGAAGTGGAACTACCATTTGATTCAGCAATGCCACTACTGGGTATCTACCCAGAGGACAAGAAGTCCTACTACTGGGTATCTACCCAGAGGACAAGAAGTCATTATTTGAAAAAGATATTTGCACACGCACGTTTATAGCAGCACAATTCGCAATTGCAGTATCGTGGAACCAATCCAAATGCCCATCAATGAGTGGATAAAGAAAATGTAGGATATATATATACAATGGAATACTACTTAGCCATAAAAATGAATGAATCAACGGCATTTGCAGCAACTTGGATGAGATTGGAGATTATTATTCCAAGTGTAGTAACTCAAGAATGGAAAACCAAACATTGTATGTTCTGATATGTGGGAGCTAAGCTATGAGGGTGCAAAGGCATAAGAATGATACAATGGACTTTGAGGACTTGGGGGAAGGGTGGGGGGGAGGAATAAAACATTACAAATAGGGTGCAGGGTATACTGCTCGGGTGATGGGTGCACCAAAATCTCACAAATCACCACTAATGAACTTACTCATGTAATCAAACACCACCTATACCCTAATAACCCATGGGAAAATTGAAAAAAGAAGACAAAGACAAATGGACACCCCATGAAAGACTTATTAAAATGTCCATTCTATCCAAAGCAACCTACAGATTCAATGCAATCCCTACAAAAGTCTCAATAGCATTTTCTACAGAAATAGAAAAAAAAGTTAAAATTTATATAAACTACAAAAGACCCCGAATAGCCAAAACACACTTGAGAAAGAAAAAGCTGGAGGCATCACACTTCCTGATTTCAGAATACTACAACAATTTAAAACAGTCTAGTACTGGATAAGGATAGACATATAGAACAATGGAGCAGAATAAAGAGCGCAGAAATTAATCCACACATGGTCAACTGATCCTCAACAAAGGTGCCAAAAATACAGAATGGGGAAAGGATAGTCTTTTTTCATAAATGATGTTGGGAAAACATCATTTATGTTTTCCCAACATCAAGAAAAAAATTTATCTTACACCATACACAAAAATCAACTCAAAACAGAGGAAAGACTTAAATGTAAGACCTGAACTATAAAACTCCTATAAGAAAACATAGGAGAGATTCTAAGATGGCCGAATAGCAACAGCTCCAGACTACTGCTCCCAGCGTGAGCGACTCAGAAGAAAAAAGCAAACAACCCCATCAAAAAGTGGGCAAAGGATATAAACAGACACTTCTCAAAAGAAGACATTTATGCAGTCAACAGACACAGGAAAAAATGCTCATCATCACTCGCCATCAGAGAAATGCAAATCAAAACCACAATGAGATACCATCTCACACCAGTTAGAATGGATAATAAAAGTCAGGAAACAACAGATGCTGGAGGGCATCTGGAGAAATAGGAATACTTTTACACTGTTGGTGGGACTGTAAACTAGTTCAACCATTGTGGAAGACAGTGTGGCAATTCCTCAAGGATCTAGAACTAGAAATGCCATTTGACCCAGCCATCCCATTACTGGGTATATACCCAAAGGATTATAAACCATGCTGCTATAAAGACACATACATGTGTATGTTTATTGTGGCACTATTCACAATAGCAGAGACTTGGAACCAACCCAAATGTCCATCAATGATAGACTGGATTAAGAAAATGTGGCACATATACACCATGGAATACTATGCAGCCAGCTGGAAACCAACATTCTCAGCAAACTATTGCAAGTACAGAAAACCAAACACCGCATGTTCTCATAGGTGGGAATTGAACAATGAGAACACTTGGACATAGGAAGGGGAACATCACACAATGGGGCCTGTCGTGGAGTGGGGGGAGGGGGGAGGGATAGCATTAGGAGATATACCTAATGTAAATGACGAGTTAATGGGTGCAGCACACCAATATGGCAATGTATGCATATGTAACAAACCTGCGCATTGTGCACATGTACCCTAGAACTTAAAGTATAATTAAAAAAAAGATTAAATGGAAAAAAAAAAAGAAAACATAGGAGAAATCTTCATGCATTGGTCTGGATCATGATTTTCTGGATATACCCCAAAAGCACAGGCAACAAAGGCAAAAATGTAACAATGGGACAGCATTGAACTAAAATGCACATCAAAAGAAGCAATTAATAGAGTGAAAAGGCAGTCTATCAAATGGGAGAAAATGTTTGTAAACCATATATCAAATAAGGGGTTAATTTCCAAAATATATAAGGAAAACAGTTAATAACCAATTTCAAAATGGGCCAAATACTCGAATAGACATTTCTCCAAAGATGACACACAAATGGCCAACAGCTATATGAAAAGATGCTGAATGTCACTAGTTATCAGGGAAACAAATCAAAACCACACTGTTAGGATGGCTATTATGAAAAACACAAAAGATAACAAGTGTTGGAAAAGATGTGGAGAAATTGGAGTACTTGACACTGTTGGCGGGAATGCAAAACATTACAGCCTCTATGGAAAACAGTATGAAGATTCTCCCTGAAACTAAAAATGGAACCACCATATGATTCAGCAGTCCCATTTCTGGATATATATACACACAAAGGAATTCAAATTAGGATCTCAAAAATGTATTTGCACTCCCAACGTCACTGCAGCATTATTCACAATAACCAAGATGTGGAAACAACCTAAATGCCCAATGTTGAATAGAAAGGAAATATGGTTTATACATACAATGGTATATTATTCAGCTTTAAAAAAGGAAATCTTTCAATTTTCAACAATGCAGAAGAACCCGGAGGACATTATGCTAAGTGAAATAAGCCAGGCACAGGAAGACAAATAGTGCATGATCTTACATATATATGGAATCTAAAATAGTCACGTTTATAGAATCAGAATTGTGGTTATCAGGAGGAAATGAGGAGTTGCTAATTGCAACAGGTATAGTCTTAATTACATAAGTTAAATAAGTTCTAGAGATCTGTACAACACTGTTCCTATAGTTAACAATACTGTATTGTACTCTGAAACATTTAACACAGTAGATCTGTTAAGTGCTCTTACAATTATGTGTGTGTGTGTGTATGTATATATGTATGTGTATATATATGTGTGTGTGTGTGTGTGTGTATATATATGTATTTGGCTAGGACTTAATGCCACTAACCCTGAGATGGAGGTTAGTGGTGCTAAGTCCTAGCCAAATACTTTCTCATGGTAAGTAACAAATACAATTAGGGTTGATGAAGGATCTTGGAGTTCAGCTAGCTGAGTGCTGACTAAAGTACCTGAGGATACCTCTCCTGATGAAGAAATAATTTAGGAAGGACATATAAGCTGTCTTTAAATGTTAAGAAGTATTATGTCAAAGAGGGATTAGTTTCATTCATTATCACTCTAAAGCTGTACTCTCCACTTTAAAAAAAATTGTTCACCCATAACAGTAAAATATTTTCAGCACTCTTCCGGCAAGCATATAAGTTGCATGCACATTAATCGTTAGCAAAGTTGAAGTTCTTTTTTGTTTTTAAGATGGAATATAAACAGTCTTTGTATTTTCCCCCCAACTCTGGAGGGTGACTTGTGCTGCCCCTGGAATGTGCACACCCTCATATGGAGACCATGGTTTTGTGGGGACAGCTAGTGTCAGCAGAATTTTAAGGAAGTTGATTCTGGCCTTACTGGATTGTCTTATCTAGAGCCCTCTCCTACGGTACAGCCCCAGGAATTAATTTTTCAAAGAGCAGTTATTTCTGGGGTTGTGCGATCCCCTGACACCTGCTTAGACCAAGGTTGGTGCCCAGGCCAAAGCAAGCATGGATATAGAGGATGAACATAAAAGAAGCTGTTGCATATTAGGTGTGCGAGTTCGGGCCTTCAGGAAGCCGATGCCAAGATGGGATTAAAAGAGCAACAGATGTATTGGGGAGAAATGTTTGGGAAGAATACAGAGGAGAGGAAGCAGGAGTAGACAGAAAGATCCTGTAGACCATGAAGCTCATCTGACACCAGAGAAAGGAGAGAGGGAAAGGAGGATTGTGTAGGAAGAGCCTCAGGCTGCAGGGCGTCTGAGAAAAATCTCAGCCTAACCGATGGGGAGTCTTCAGATGAGGTTGCCAGCTGGAAGAGGTCTTTGTCAGGAAACAGCGCCCTATCTCTGCTTCCCTTGCTGTGTTCAGTGACTGAGTGGGAGTAGCTCATTCGGTGTGGGGCTTCTGAAGGCTGTGGTGGGTCCTGAGGTATAGCAACTAGAAGCTGTCCACTGACTACACCCTCCCAGCAGGGAAGCCTGGAAAGAGCATTTCCATGGGGTTCTGAGTTGCATGCTGACAAATTGACCCAACCAGATTTGCTCCCTTGGGAAGAACAAATGCCTGCTGCTAAGGATAGACAACTCACCCGGTCCTTGGGAAGGCTTACAGGTCCTCAGTGCCACTTGGCTTTTGTTTCAGTTCCCTGTGAGTGACCCCTGCAATCCAGGCACAGAGTCCTGTCTTGGAAGTCCTGCCTCCTCCCTTCTGCATGTGACCTTACCCTACTCCCTCATCACCTAGGTTCACCTGAGCACATGCCTTCCCAGGACCCAGAAGAGCCTCCCTGAAACACTGTTAACTCTAAGGAAGAACTTTCTAATGCCAACAGCTATGCAGCAGTGGAATGTGCCGGCCCCTTAGGGAGTACAGATTGTCCTATCACTACACTTGCTTTTGCTCAGGAGGCAGTTTACTGAAAATGTGGCGTTAACTGGAAATTTGGACTAGACCAATGCTTCTCAAAGAGCGTGCCACCCGCAGCAGAATCAGGTATGTGTGGGAAGCGGGGTGGTGTGCGGGGAGGAGTGGTTAAAATACAGATCTCTGGGCCTAACCCAGACCTCTCAATCAGCATATCTTGGGGAAAGATTCGGGTATCAGCAAACTTACGTTGAAGTTGGCCGGGGAAAACATTCTCTGAGGTCCCTCCCCACTCAGAGAGTCTACGATTCAATTTCTAAAGCTGTTTATTAACTGGGACTGGCTGGAAGCCTTGGGAAATTTAGTTAACCTTTGGGCCTCAGTTGTCACCTTTGAAACAGAAGTTCAATTATAGTCTCTCTAACTCTGGAGTCCATGCCTCTTATCTACCTTGTCTCTCTTGATTTGAAGCTTTGCTTGTGCCTGGGTACAAGTGAGCATGTGGGGGAAAAAACAAAAAACAACAACAAAAAAAACCTGTTGCAATGAAATAAAACAGTAAGTACTCAATAAATTTTTGTTGACTGATACCTTGGTTTAGGGTTAGTCAAAGGAGACCATTCAAAACAGGAGGAAAGCCACATCTTAAAAACTAGGAGCTTCCCAAACCTTGGCTCACTACAGAGTCTAACATGAAAGCCGTTATTTAAGTTGTGCTTCTGAAGTGGGCTGGAGGCCAAGGCAGTGGCTTACACATCACAGGACTGCTGCAGGCCAATACATGCTCTGCTAGCGATGCTCACTGCTTGAAAGAGGTTTCCCCTGTGTGGCTTTATCAAAGGTCACAGGCTGGCAGCCCGACACGCAGAACTGTTCCTGTGTGGATACAGAGGCTCTCTGTCAGGCTGTCCCTTGCAGGAACCACAGGATTGGTTTTCATCCCCTCTGTAGGGAGAAGGATGGAGGAGGAAGTGGGGGTGAGGAGGAGATCTGTGGGGTTTATCCAGATCCCAGCAGTAGCAGGCAAGACACGCAATTACATATAGGGATACAGAAGCCTCAGACTGGTGGCTTTGGTTGCAGTGTCTCCATCTACCTTTTTTTTTTTTTTTTTTTTTAAAATAACTCAGATGGGGTCTTGCTATGTTGCCCAGGCTGGTCTCAAACTCCTAGGCTCAAGTAATCCTCCCTCCTCAGTCTCCCAAAGTGCTGGGATTACAGGCATGAGCCACTGCACCTGGCCACCGTCTGCTTTGGTTTTAGGAGAACACTTAGGAAAGAGAGCTGGATTTCTGAGTCAAAGACATTGGGTGCTGCTGGGAATCAGATAGGTGCCCCTGCCTGCATGGGGCCTGTATGGCTCCTGTCAGCTAAAGGTAGTTATTATTTGGGTCAGGCTGCCTGGGCTGGGGGAGCCTGGGCTCTCTCATCAGAGTCCTCTCCCCTCCTTTTCTGGAGAATCTGTCTTCAGAAACATCTGGGTGAGCCATTTCTGCTGACAGTCATCCCCATGTTTATGACCTTGTGAGATACCCAATGACTCTCATCTTTTGGTCCCCAGGCTCTGATCTAACACAAGCCTTGTCCAGCCTCATCTTGAGTTTTCAGGTAAGACCCCTTGGTTTAGTCCCTTACTTGTTCTTCCCTAATTCTCCTGCCTATAGAGATAAACCTCCGAGATTCCCCAGAGAGCTGAGGACTGGATGACATTCCCAGTGTTTTTTTCTATACATGTTCCCCTGAGGGAAGAGAATTTGCAGTAATTCAGACCCACTGTGTGTGAAGCATCCCCTATGTGTCTTACATGAATGCTAAGGTGGACTGTGAGATCCCCAAGGATGACCCACTGGGGAGCACGAAGAACATGCCAGTATTCCTAATCATATTTATTTTCCATCCAAGACACAAGAAAGAGATGAAGTTTACTCACATTTAATGGAAGCTAGCACCTTCATGCGTGGCATGTAAGGTATCTTGAGGGCAGAATGAGGGTTCCAACCACACAGAAGGCTAACAGTGGCATTCTTGGGCTTTTATTTTTTTAGCATACTGAGACAAACTGCAAAGAGCATTAGATTTATATTTTTTTAAATAATGCTCACAAAGTGGACAAGTGGCTTATAAAGAAGGCATGGGATGAAAATCATACTAAAACATAAATCCAGGCAAATCTCACACACACATACACAGAGAAAAAGTAGGGGACATTTCTATTCCCACAGTGAGCTGTGTCAGGCTCATTATCTTACAAAGCAAAAACAATGACAATCCAATCAGATCTGAGAAGTTGAAGAAAGCTGGTAAAGAAGGAAATTTGGGATGTGGATTTACATCCACAATCTTTAAGGTGAGCTTCCTTTAAGTTTATATCATGCTTCAGGAGACTAAAAAATGGTGATATAAAACCATCACATTGGCTGGGCATGGTGGCTCACGCCCATAATCCTCACACTTTGGGAGGCTGAGGCAGGTGAATCATGAGGTCAGGAGATTGAGACCGGTCTGGCAAACATAGTGAAACCCTGTCTCTACTAAAAATACAAAAAATTAGCCAGGTGTGGTGGTGTGCACCTGTAATCCCAGCTATTCGTGAGGCTGAGGCAAGAGAACTGCATGAACCCAGAAGGCGGAGGTTGCAGTGAGCCAAGATCGCGCCATTACACTCCAGCCCAGGCAACAGTGCAAGACACTGTATCAAAACAAACAAACAACAAAAAACCCCATCACACTTAGCAGCGTGTTTAAAAACTAAGCAACCAAAACATGAAGACATGTCTCTACAGCAATATTTAAATATTTAAATATTCAGCAATATTATATTCGGCAATATTTAAAGTCAGGAAAAAAAAATCTTGTTAGAAAATTTTATTAAACACAGATGGTTCCATGGTGAGCATTCTGGACTCTGAATCCAGAAAATTTTATTAAACATAATAATATATGTTTGAAGTGTCTTTTTTTTTTTTTTTTGAGACAGGATTTCTTGTCCCCCAGGCTAGACTGCATTGGTGCGATCATAGCTCACTGAATGCAGCCTGCCTTACCTTCCCAGGCCCAATCAATCCTCCCACCTCAGCCTCCTGAGAAGCATGGAATTCAGGCACACACCACTATGACTGGCTAATTTTTAGTTTTTTTTTTTTTTTTTTGTAGAGATGGGAGTCTCATTATGTTACCCAGCCTGGTCTTGAACTCCTGAGCTCAAATGACCCTCCCTCCGTGCCCTCCCAAAATGTTGGGATTACAGGTGTGAGCCATCGCTCCCAGCTTAAAGTCTCTTTTGAGGTTTCTTAGGCGATGGCAAAAAGTTGTACACTACTACAGGAATACTTTCTGACACTGGAAAACACTCCAAGTTCCTGGCTGAAATACATAGAACGCACTATGGCAAAAAACTATGATGCATTCATTTGTTAGAAAAACAACACTGGAAATTGTTGAATAATGCTTAGAAAACAGTGCTTAAAATTTGGAGCAAGAAGTATTAAAATGGATTGCTCAGCGTGAGAAGTGTTTTATATTATACTGTTGGATGGAAGTATAGGTGTGTCAGCTTATGGTCATTCTAAAATTCTATTTCAATAAAGAAATACCACAAAAAATTCCTTTTTTAAAAAAAATAATAAAGTCACACAAGCTCCTTGCATCCACCGTAGATAATGAGAAAAAGCTGGCTAAAGATAAGTCATTAAATGTTTTTCAGCTCATTAGAGAGCTGAGGTCTCAAATCAACCAGGTTAACTAAATTCCAGGGGGTGAAGCCCCTGAGATAAGATAGAGCACATGAACAATTTCACCTTTGCCAAAACAAACATGTAAGAAGAAATTTTAATGAATTCTTAAGGGCCAAGTGTGCCTCTAGTATCTCCATTTAGAATCTCTAGAAACCCCAGACCCAGGGGGAACCCACGCTTACTTGCCAGCTCTTTTGTATGAGCCGCCACCAGGTACTCATGAAGAAGACTGGGGGTGAGACAGGAGACCTGAGAGAGCTTTTCCCTCCATGGTGCACGGGCATGGAACCTACTTACTTTCCAGATACCACTTTCATATGAAAAGCAATACACTTTAGAAGGAGACTGAAGGGAAGGAAAATCCCCTGCCCTAGACAAAGAGCTACAATCTCTGGGCTAGGGGTAGAAGTAAAAGCCAGCTGTTGCTGGGGGAGGAGAAGGAAACCTGCTTGTGTGTGCGTGTGTTATAATATACGTAGAAGTAAAATGTATAACAACAATAGCACAGAGGATGGGAGTGAGGATGTGGAAGTGTGCTGTTGTAAGGTTTTGTCAGTGTACTTGAAGAGGTATTATATTGAAGGGAGACTATGTATTATAAACACTAGAGCAATCACTAAAAAGTAGAACAAAGAGGTGTAATTATTAAGCCAGTAGTAGAGATAAATAATTAATTTAAAAACTCTGTTAATCCAAAAAAGGCAGGAAGAAAGAGAAAAAGAACAAAGAACAGATACGACAAGTTGTCAGGTAGTAGATTTAATCCAACCGTATTTATATTAAATGCAAATATCTAAATATTCCAAATAAAAAACAGAGGTGGTCAGATTGGGAAAAAAAAGCAAGATTGATTGTATGCTGTCCACAAAAAACCTACTTTAAATATAAAAACATATGTGAAAAATACCATGCAAGTAATAATTTAATAAGAGTGGCTATATCAATATCAAAGTAGACTTCAGAACAAGGGGGACATTACATATGTTAAAGGGGTCAATGCATTAAGAGGACATAACAATCCTAAATATCTATGTACCCAATTAAAAGCTTCAAAAAACAAAACAAATACTGATGGAATGAGGACTAGACAAATACATAATTATAGCAAGAAACAAGAACCTGAAAGACAATTTTTTAGTTACTAAAGGAAGATCATACAAAGTATATTTTTTCAACAGTGAGTGGTTCTGTAATACACTTAATTTTAGGAAAAACTGTGTAAATGTAATCATTAATGGAATGTTTGCTTTGAACGACATACAAAAGAGGATTCAGAAGTAAGGTTATAGAGGTAACACCTTAGATGAAATTAATTCACTAGATTGTTAAAAATCAAGCTTTCCAATAATGCAGTTGAAGCCATATGTACCCTAGGGGCTAGATCATCAATTTGGTAATAATGAAAAAAACAAGACTATAAAAATATAGTGGAATCTTAATATTCTGAATGAGATGGGTAGTGAATACAAGCATCTTTTATACCACATAGAGATTAGCTGATTATCTTGTGGCAGGATGCTTAAAAACAAGTCAAGAAATTTCCTTTTATAAAGAGAAGGGCTATGAATATGCTGCTCATTTATCAGTGATGACTAGTGACCCTTAGAAGTGTGCTTTCTAAAAGCTATTTTTAAAACAATAAACACAGGTATTTTGTTCTTTTGAGGTAATGGTGACCCTCTAGCAATGAGGGAGAAAATAGTTGCTTTGCAATGATGGGAACTTGTGCTAAGGAGAGAGAATTGAGGATGAGTATTTGGTAATGTAGTCATATAATTTTATAGTAAAAAGTGAAGTCAGTGGGCCTCCTAAAATAATGCCCAGATCTGCCTTCTTAAAAAACTTAGGAACATGCTTTTCTCACTATTTACAAATTTTTAAATGAAGAGTTTCAGTGAGTTTTGAACCTACTTGTTAACGTAAAAATGTGACGCCTTCCAATTAGTTTGTGGAACAATTGGCGTCAGGAATATATAAATTCACCAGCTGCATTTCAACAAAAGCCTTTGTATAATTGGTGTCAGTTTGAACAGTGAGTATCACAATTCATTTCTCCCATTTGGATGTACTGCAGGTGTCTTTGGGAAGTATCTTTTCCAGTAATGATAGCCAATCAATACGAGTATTGAAAAAAGCTCACTTTAGAACAGATCTTGGAAATGCTGCATCAAAATGAATTAAACAAGATTTCAAACTGTAACAAAGCATACCCAAGCACATTTCTCATTAAAAAGATTAATAGAATTTTTTAGTGAAAGCCCAAATAATTTTTTTATGTAGCTTAGTAAATAAAAAAAAGTTAAAGCTTGGTTCAACTTACTAGAAGTGTGGTAACTCACCACTTCTTTCACACACAGCATGCTCCCTCCCCCCACCCCAGCCTGGTTTTCAGCACAGCAACGATTTTCCTAAAGGAGCTCGAGTGGTAGAGGCACTGTTCAAATGGAGTTCCCCTAACCCAAGCAGGACACACCCACACCCAAGGCCCTTCGACCCTCCTCTCTGTCCACCCCTTAAATTTAGAAGAATGGTTGGAAATGAATTAAGGATGCTGTTTATATTAGCCCGTTCTTGCATTGCTATGAAGCACTGCCTGAGACTAGGTAATTTGTAAGAAAAGAGGTTTGACTCACAGTTTACAGGTTGTACAGGAAGCATGGCTGCGGAGGCCTCAGGAAACTTAAGATCATGGCGGAAAGTGAAGGCGAGGCAGGCACATCTCCACATAGCAAAGCAGGCGAGAGAGCGTGAAGGGGGAAGGGCTACACACTTTTAAACCACCAGATCTCGCGAGAACTCACTCACTGTCACCAGAACTGCAAGGAGGAAGTCCGTCCCCATGATCCAATCACCTCCTACCAGGCCCCTCCTCCAGCATAGTGGATTACAATTTGACTTGAGATTTGGGTGGGGACACAGAGTCAAACCATATCACTGGTCATTGTGGTGTCTCTAAAAGGCCAGGAACCAGTGTGAGGACCACCCACTGGGAGGAGAGCTCTGAACCAACACCTGTTAATAATGATTATCGCCTTTGCCGATGCTGTACACATGCGTAGTGCTTTCCCACACCTGGGTCCTTTCAACCTAGTTAACCTAGGCAATAATTATTATTTTCATCTTACAGTTGAGGAAACGGAGGCTCAAATGCTCAAGTCAATTTCCCAGGGACATGGGCTGGTAAGTAGCAAAGCTTGGAGTTGGACCCAGTTGATCCAACCTCTACTTATTTTTGAGGGGTGAGAGATATGTGTAAGGGGGTAATAGATTTCATATGTGTATGGGCCCCTTAGGGGGCCTGTGTGAAGAGCCCAGGGAAGGCTAAGGTGGGTGACTAGACTAGTTCTGCTAAGGAGAGCCAGAGTTTCAAAGAAGGGGAAATGTTTTAGATGCCTCTAAAACATGTTCGTAAATTCAGCCACCCATCAGCATCATCCAGAGAGGTTAAACGAAAAAAAAAAAAAAAAAGAAAAAAGGCTAATTCCTGGGCTCCTCCTCAAACCCTATCAAATTAGTATTGTGAGGAAAACAGAATCCACCTGAATTTTTTCCAACAGCTTCCCTGAAACCAGATGGAGACTTCTAGAGGGCGGGTGGGATAGGTCTGGGAGCTAGGGACAGCCCCAGGTGGTGTCTTTGCACTTCTATTTCCTAGGAAAGCAGGGTTTGAGGCCTTCTGGATGGAAGGCAAGGGTTCTGCCAGCTACTCTGGGCACCTAGCCGGGTGTCTTTGCACCTCTATCCCCTAAGAAAGGGGGATTTGAGGCCTTCTGGATGGAAGGCAAGCATTCTGCCAGCTACTCAGGGCACCTAGCTGGGTCCGGAGACCAGACTGGCATTGACAGAGCAAGAGCCTCCCAGTAATATGATCTGAGCCACACCGTCTTGTTTACTGCCATCTGCCTGAAGACTGTGCTTAAGGAACAATTTCTTTGTCAAAACACACAGGACAGAGAGCCTGCTTTGGCCCCAGGCTTCTGTTTCATAACTCTTTTTTATTGGAGCAGAAAGAAGCAGCACATTATTGTTCTTTTGCTGCCCGTTTTCTCATGGATCAAGAAAGCAACAAGCACTTTGTGCAAATAGAAAAGCCTGCTTTGTTGTCTGAAGACAGGGAGGTGAGGTTGCAAGAAAAAGGGCTTTCACAGATCATAAAAGGGACACTCCACACAAAGCAGGCTTGAGGCCGACTGGCAGGAGGGCCTGGGAATGAGTGCAAATAAATCGTTTGCACTTATTCACTGGCTTCATCAACGTTTTACATGTTTCACTAGTAAAAGCAATCTTAGAAGGTGTGTGTCAAAGGCTCTCTGGCAGAGCTGTTTCTCCTAGAAGGATCATTCTAGGCTGATGTTATGCAATAATGGTGTTTCTGAAAAATGGAGTCAATTGATCATGTTGTTGAGGGCACTGTTTTAAGAAACCTTGGTACTAAGAACATGACAATTAGCAGTGAGATTTCCTGTGTGTCACCTCCATGTGACCTCTGAGGAGACAAGGTACTGTTGCTATCCTCAGTCACAGACGATGCAACCACGGCTCAGGGACCATGAACTCCTTTCCCTCAGCTCACACAGCAGACCCAGGTTCAATTCCTGATGTGTGTGTGTTCATTTTCCTTTATCTGGTGATGTCATAAATCATTCAGTAATATAAGTATCTCCCTCAAACGTTGGAGGTTTTGAAGGTTGGATTTTCCTCAAGCAGAGTGCAGAAGTCAGTTCTTCTGATAAGAAGTCAGTTCAGGGATGGATGCCCCATTCTCCGTGATTATTACATATTGCATGTCTGTATCAAAGCATCTTATGTGGGGAGGGTGGGGGGACGGTGGGAAGAGCATTAGGGAAAAGAGCTAATACATGTTGGGCTTAACACCTAGGTGATGGATTGATGGGTGCAGCAAACCACCATGGCACACATTTACCTATGTAACAAACCTGCACATCCTGCACATGTACCCTGGAACTTAAAAAAATAATAAAATAAAAACACAAACTCAGGCATCCCATAAATAAAAAAAACTACCATGCACCCACAAAAAATTAAAAAAGAATTTAAAAGCCAATTTAATTGATAAGTTGCCACAACCTAATAAGATGTGTACTTGACTTTGAGAAACAGCCCTCATTCAAAGAGTTAACTTTTTTCCAACAGTATAAAAGGGAATAAACAATTAGAAATATTCTTGTAAGCTACATGTCTTCTCTCCCCACCTTTAGATAAATGCTTTTTCTAGAACAGTGATTCTCAAATTTTTAGTGAGCATTGGAACCACCTGGAGGGCTTGTTAAAACAGATTGCTGGGCCCCACCCCTAGAGATTCTGATTCTACAGGTCTAGGGTGGAGCTGGAAAATTTGCATTTCTAATACATTTCCAGGTGATGCTGATGTTGCTGGTATAGGAACCTCAGTTAAGAAGCACAGTTCTGTAGTGTTCTTTGTGTGCCTACACAGACGTGTATATCTCTCTATCTCTACATGTATACACAACAGATTATTAAAAATGAACCCATGCTTTACTAATAATTTTGAAATTTGTTTATTTTCATTTAACAAAATAACCTAGACAACATTTCTCTGCTGTTTTCCTACATCGTATCCTAGATTAGGGATTTCTATCATTCTTTTTAATGGCTGCATAGCATTCCATTGTATTTTTGCACCATTTATTTAACCAGTCTCTATTGTTGGAAGTTTAGATTGTTTCCATTTTCTCCCCATTACAAACAATGCTGCAACCCTTTTGCTTATATCTTACACACTTGTGCTAGTATTTCTGCAGGACAAATCACAAAAATGGAATAGATGGGTGATAATGTATATGTCTTAAAATTGTATAGAACTATCAAGTTCTCCCCACCCCCATAAAGTTTGTTCCAATATTCCTACCAATAGTTTGACAAACCCCTAACTATCACTGGACATTAAGAATCTTTTTTTAAATCTATGCTTATCTGATGGGTGAAAAATGTTACATTGTTATTTTAATTTGGATGTCTTTAATTATTAGTGAAGTTGAGTATATGTTATTGACCACTTATAATAATATTTATTCTTAGGTGATATGCCTGTTCATATCCTCTGCCTGTTTTTAGAGAAAAGGAGTCCAAAATGGCAGAAAGATGCACGGCAATGTCCTCATTGTGTCAGGCATGGCTTGGGTCTGTGTACCCCACTGAAGAAATTTGGAGGTGCCACAGAAGAGAACCCAAAACGAGCCACAGAAATGGGTCAAAGTAATTAAAGGTGAGGGTATAGGAAAGCGAAATGAATAAAGATTGTTTAGGCCGGAGAATAGAAGACTAAGGGGGAGGGGAGAGAAGGGAAACCTTACAATTCTGAATGATTGGTGTCATGGTTTGTGTGGCTATAACAGAATGCCATGGACTGGGTGATTTATTAATATAATAAAGAGAAATTTATTGGCTCATAGTTCGGGAGGCTAGAAAGTCCAAGGTCAAGATGCTGGCAGGTTTGGTGTGTGGTGAGGGCTTGGTCTCTACTTCTAAGATGGCGCCTTGAATGCTGCATCCTCTGGACGGGAGGAGCACTGTTCCTTATATGACAGATGCATGGAAGAGCAAAGAGAAGGCAAGAGAGAGTCAGGGGCTGAACTCACCCTTTCATAAGGAGCCCACTCCTGAGCTAACAAACCCACTCCCACAATAATGTCATTAATTCATTCATGAGGCAGAGCCCTCAGGACCTAATAATCTCTTATTAGGCCCACTTCCCAACATTGATGCACTGGGGATTAAGTTTCCAACAAATAAATTTTGGGGAACACATTCAAACCATAGCATTGAGTCTTTTGAGAAGGACGGCTGATGTGTGCTCTTTCTGCCAGGAACATGGACCAACTCAAATTCTCATAGTGGGCTTTATTCAAAGTAAGTTCCAGTTATGATCTACATTTCCATTCTTAGAGATATTTCAACTCAATTGGAGATAATTCTGGTGCGGACTCCTGCACTTTAAATCATGGAGCACAATCTTCCAAATACCTTTGTGTTCCTTTTTTAGGCTAGAGAATTTTAAAATACAGTGAATGGTCAAATCAGATTAATTTCATTTAATTAAATATTGGGGCTCTTTCCAATGATTTTGGGCTGCAGTGTTTGGAACTGCCCCAATTCTTCCCCAAGTAGCATGAGACCCAGTGCTTTGTGGTGCTCATTTATGGAGGTTTGTCCTGTGCTTGGATGTTGACTCTGGCACTAGAGTTAATATGACAGCAGCCTAGCCCAGCATTTGAGAGGTCCCCTGTCTCTTTGGGACCTGATCAAGTGTCTCGCATTTAGGGAGTTCCCAATTATAGGACATAACTGAAATATCAGCCCTTTTGGCATGCACTCTCTTCCCCTACAACAATCCTGACTCCAGGCTGATCACTGGGCCCCTTTTACCCCAAAAGTATCTTCTCATACCTGAGGCATTAGTTAGCAGTGCCATAAGAAGAAGGTACTGCCAAGCTCCCTGGACCCTGCAGCTTTCTTATTCTATGAATAGAATTACAGAATCTAGGCCAGAGAACCATGGCATTTTCAACTCCTCCCAAACCCTCCCCACCCCCACATCCCAGTAGTAGGCTAGATAGATCTTACCAAATATCTCTGAAATATTATCCGTTTTCATCTTCATTATCACTGCCTCAATCTATCCTTTTCCCTTTTCTTGAATGAATGCATTGGCCTGCTGGCTTCCTCCAGTCAAGTCCTTTTCCAGTCCCTTTTATCATATAACTATTTGTTCATTCATTCATTCATTCATTCTTTCATCCATCCATTCATTCTATGAGAATTGACTTTATCTTTGTGCCAAACACACTCAAGAAATGCCACAAGACTGTGGGCTATTAATTATAAAGAAGATACCCAGGAAGTTGGCCCTCTTGGTTGAAAGGAATTGGAGGAATCCAAGGTAGAGTTCCAAAGAAAGATGAACTTAAGGTGGGCCTTGAAGTGTGCATAGATAATATGGAAAATGCTGTGAGTCAGCCATCTAGCTGTCATTCCCCACTGTCTTGCTCAGTGATGATATTGTTCACCCTCTCATATGCTTGGGGAAGTAGCTTACAACTCCAGCCAGAGGGGGTCAATCCTGATTGAGTCAAACAAATTAAGGCTATTCTCCTTGCAGTGATTAGCTTAGGCAACAAAATCTTAAAGGGAATGACTGCTGGGAGACAGAAAAAAGAACGGCCCCTCTAAAAGGTATGGTTGTGTAGACTGTTAGTTGCCATGTGGGATTCCTGGAGCACTATGACAGGTCTTCTGATTTTTCATGAAAAGCTTGAAGTCTGATTAAAAGTATTTTTTTGATAAATCCCTTTGCTTGCTGAGCATGTGCTGGTGATTGGGATACACATCTGGAAGCAGAATCCAGGGACAGAGGCATTTGGGCTTAGAGGTGCAGAGTGGGTGAATGAAAATGCAAGGAGATAGAGATGGGAGCTGGCTTTTGATGAACAGGTATGGAATTCTGGTCTGGGTGACAAACAGGATAATGACATTAATGAGCACACTTTAAGGAAAATGCAGAAAAATGCCGGGCACAGTGGCTCCCGCCTGTAATCCCAGCACTTTGGGAGGCTGAGATGGGCAGATCGCTTGAGGTCAGGAGCTCGAGACCAGCCTGGCCAACATGGGGAAACTCCGTCTCTACTAAAAACTATAAATATTAGCCAGGTGTGGTGGTGGGTGCCTGTAATTCCAGCTACTTGGGAGGTGGAGGCAGGAGAATTGCTTTAACCCAGGAGGAGGAGGTTGCAGTAAGCTGAGATCGCACCACTGCACTCCAGCCTGGGTGATGGAGTGAGACTCTGTCTCAAAAAAAAAAAAAAAAAACAACAAACAAACAAACAGAAAAAACACGAAGAAAATGAAAGCCATTCCCAATCCTGCTATACAGAAAAAGCACTGTTTTTAAATATTTTCCCATATAGTTTTTTTCCTCTCCTGATGTTAGATTGTGAACATTTTCTTCTCATCATTAAAAGGCTCTCTGAAAACTTACTTTTGAATGGTGATATCTAAGTCCAATACAAGGGCCATGTCTCATGTAATTCTAAATATTCTAATTCTGTTGGAATACTCCTTCTTGAATCTTGGCTGGTTGTTCTGTTTGATGCATGTATGTTAATGTGAAATGTCACCTGTGGTAAAATGCCAGTATTCCATTCTGAGGGTGGGGTAGGGGGTGATAAGAAAATATAAACCCAGCGGAGAGAAAAATCTAGGGAGAAGAACAAGGCCAAACCAATAATGCAGATCTTTAAGTGGAACTTAAGCCATCAGTCCAGCCGTGCCCTTAGTCTGATTCCTCTTAGGAAAGCGTAATTAAATGTGTTGAGCCTTTCCTAGGTGTAAGCCAGGCAAGCTCTGGGGAGTCTTACAGGGTCTGGGAGTGAGTAGGAAGCTTCTTCACTCTCCTGCTGCTAATTTCACTCTCAGGTGGCCCGGCTAGGCATGGAAGAAGGATCCAGGCAAATGCAAGTCCAACCTGTGTGGTTGGTTTAAAATGCCAGCTGAGCAGCAATTTCCAATGGCTCATCGGTCGGCACTCCTGAAGCCTTCTAGCTGCCTGCAATAGGGGCCAGCAGGAGGGGGTGTGAGGAGGGCCTGCTGGAGTCCCTCAGGAATAAGGTTGTCATACCGCCTTCTGAGCCCCATTTTTGTGTCTGTCACCTCTCACTGCCCTTTGGTTTGGGGGTGGGGGACCCTGGCAAACACACTATACCTGCTTTGTGACTAGGTGCGTCTCCCTGAGGGTGTGTTCCTGTGCCTTGTGCAATGACTGCCGAGTCGCTGGGCACAGATCTGAATGTGTTTCTCAGGCAGCTGGCATGATGAAACCTGGCTGGCCCAGCTCCCCTGCAAACATTTGGCTCCCCTCGTCTCTACTGTATTCCCTTAACAGACACTCAACATGGTAGTGGGAACTGGCTTCAAAGATCATTCACAATACACCTGTGTTGAGTGAGATCTTGCTTTGTGTATACGTAACATGATTCCCAGGTTATCAATGAGGCTGAAACCAACAAAGCAAACAGACGAATAATTCAGGTGGTTTGTATTGTTAATAACAGTTAATGCAATAGCTATTTATTGAGCATTTGCTATGTGCCGGTCTTTGGGCTGAGAGCATTAACTCATGTAAGTCTCACAAAACCTCTTTGCATTACATATGATTAATACCCTCATTTCACCATGAGGAAACGGGCCCAGAGAAGTTAAGTAACCTTCCCAAGGTCCATGGTGGTAGAGTGAGGACTTAATCACAGCCTATGCACGTAACCATGACTTGTTATATCTGTGATGTGTTTTTTATCTGCCCCTCATCCTTGTAGTTCTGGGATAAGCCCTGTTGGTTGTAATGCCTTTTCTATAATACACTTCAAATTAAAAACCTAAAATTTTATTTAGGATTTAAAAAATCTCCATTTATCAATGAGATTGAACTGTATAGTTCCCCCCTCCCAATGTTTAGACACCTAGTCATATTTGCTTCAAATTTGAAATGAGTAGCTTTATGAGCTCTGGAATAATTTTTAGTTCGTTAGGGGACGAGGGGAATATTTTCTTAAGCAAGACAGGAAACCCAGAACCGATTAAAAAAATAGACAAAATTGACTGCGTATGTAACAAAAAATTCCATAAAAAAAATCAAAAGAGAGCAAGATTGGCATTAGAAAGAATGAATAAAACCTAGCATTTGGTAGCACAACAAGGTGACAATAGTCAATAATAATTGTACATTTAAAAATAAAAGAGTATAATTGGATTGTTTGTAACACAAAGGATAAATGCTTGAGGGGATGGATACCCCGTTTTCCATGATGTGATTATTATGCATTGCATGTCTGTTTCAAAACATCCCAAGTATCCCATAAATATGTACACCTAATATATACCCACAAAATTAAAAAATTATTTATATGTATCTATGACAACAAGATTGGGAATACAAATGACAGATGAATAGTTAATATCACACAAAAAGATTCTACAAGTTATAAGGAAAAGAAAAATAAGCCAATTAAAAATAAATAAAGAATATGAATAGCAGCAATTCAGAGAAGAGGAAATCCAAATGGCTAATTATTATATTACAAGA